GCAGCCTGCGGCAAGTGCAGCCGGGCTGATGGCCGAGTGCTGTGATGTGCCCAGTGTGGGCACTCAGGGCACTCCAAGCCAGGACTACTTTGCAAGCAGGGCACCCTTAAGAACTGTCTGTCCGGAGTGGGGGTTGGGTCCCTTTAAGCACAGCCCCCAGCTAGCCTGAGGCAGCAGCTCCATGCTCTAAGTTCTCATCTGATGCCCTGCCGGCACTGCTTCCGGCCATCCTTAACCCCGGTTCAGGGTCCACTTAATGTGGACATGCTAGTTCGAATTAGCAAAATGCTAATTCGAACTAGTTTTTTAGTCTGGATCCATTAGTTCGAATTAGCGCTGTAGTGTAGACGTACCCTTAGAGATAAAAGTGAGTTTAGCGCCCTCTTCTCTGCCAATCTCCTTCTTAGGGCAAAAGATCAGCATCTCCTAAAAGAACCACTCCCTGCCATTCCAACAGAATCCTGAGCCTTGACTGACAAAGGTACATGGACATTCCTTTAGCGTTTATGTGCCTAAGTTTTTGTAGCTCTTGAGCTCCTATTTTTTCCTTCCTTTGAAAGCTAATGCAATCTGCACCCTAACGCTGCATTATCTGTCCATGTTTCAAACCTCTCTGAATCCCTTGGATTATAGTAAAGAACCTTCTTCTATTTGGAAGACTAAAGATCTCATATCTACAGATGTGTTTTTGGTCTGGGCTGTGAAGTTCTTCCTGGCTTTATTTTTGGCATTATCTTAAATGTGTTCATTAGCTGATTATAAGGAAAGTATGTATTATTTTGGAACAAGTTATAATCCATTGTGAACTACAGGAGGACATGCATGTAATATATAATATCTTAAATCTGATGACATTGAAACATTTAAATTTTTTTTCTGTGCCATGGGATTTTCATCACAAATCAGAAAACTGGCCCCAAATTGCTATTTCTCTTACAGTATTTTTGCCAACTGTTGTGAGGGTTTGAACACACTGTCATTTCTGTTTATCCATTTCCCACTATTCTTAGCCTCTAGTGTCTGCTTGACACACCATGAAGGGTCCATTTTTATTTCTTGTTGGAGCTTCTGAAATCCTGTCTGCAGTCGTGGTTGGGAGTGGGAGCTGGTGAATTTCTGCCTGAATGAGACTTCATGCTAGAAGTTGGCGTGACACTGCCTTGCTGAGCTTCTGTGCTGGGAGAAGGAAGAGCCAGAGAGCTGTCAGCCTGCTGA